GACCTGAGACAGGATGCTACCTTCGTGCTGTTGTGTGAGTACCCTGTGGTGGCCAGGACTACTTGGAACAGTCTGGCTTCAGACAGACCCTCCTCTGTCCTCCCTCTGCTCCCCTCCAGAAAATCTTTCTGCTGCTCCCCCAGGCTCATCACCAAGAAGAACAAGAAAATCTGTGTCTCTCCCACTGATGACACCGTCCTGAAGTTGATGCAGCAGCTGGACAAGAAGGCCAAGAATGACAAGGACAAGAAGGCCAAGAATAACAAGAACAAGAGGCAGACCCAGCGTCCCAGGGGCAGACCCAAGAAGCAGAAGCGGCAGCGGGTCTAAGTCAGGCCTGAAGAGGTAGGTGAGGGGGGTGAATAGAGTGAGTGTGCTGCACCCCATTCTAGATCCTTCTGTGTGGGAGAGTGGGCATTCAGCCCCTGCAAAGCCTGAGGGAGCTGTCAGAGCCAAGGCTGGAGCACAGAAGCATTTAGGGAACAACTCTCTCCTGGTTTGTGCTTGCCTTGAAATTAAATTTGTTTCTGGAGCTGCTGGGATAAGGCAATGCTTGGGGATGGGCAGGTCACGTCACAGTGCGGGTCAGGATGGGCAGGGCAGGTCACATTGGCTCCCAGTGGGGGTGGATGATCCCACTGAGACCCTGTCCATCTCACCCCATCCTCCTTGTCTTTGTTAGGACGGATGCCTTCCCACTGGTGACTGACCCACGGTTCGGCAATGGCAATGGACTTACACAAACCACACACTCACCCACCCGCCAGCCTGAGGGTGGGGATGGGGCAGGCTGAGGAGGATTCCCTCTGCTCCACAACCTCTTTGTTGCTGCTATGCCTGACACAGAGATCCCCCAGCACCTGCAGTGCTTGGGTGCTCTCAGCAAAGCAGGCACCCAGGTCCTCACTTGTCCCATGGCCAAATAAGTGGGGACCTGGGCGTGGGAGCTGAGCCATGGCCTCTAGAGGGAAGTGGACATGCTTCCCACTCAATGGGAGTTATTTAGCCTAGCAGGATGGATGCTTTTCCTATGACTTTTTTGGGGGGATATTTTACATTTGTATTTATATTTGAAAACTGCGCTTTCATCTCTTCCTGAAAGGCTTTACTTCTGTCTCCTTATGCTTCACAAAGTAGCCTTTATGCTGCAAGCTGGATTTTCTGGAAGATTTCTCTTATTTTTCTACCAAATAAACCATGGCTGCATTTAATTTTCCTCTAAATTCTTTGCTCCTTCTTGGTCTGCAAGGTGTGAGGAGCCAGGCAGGTCCCAAGTTCTGTGGTCCTACTTGAGCTGCTTGCTGGGTGCTTCTTTGCAGAGCAATTAATAGCAGCTGAGATGGAGAGTTTTGGGATAACAGTGGTAACAGTGTGGCTCTGTGTCTGGGCTGTTCTAATCTTTCAGGTTTTATGGTACACTGTTTCATTGTAGTTTGGATAAAGATAGCAACAATTTATCTCTTTGGTTTTTTAATTTTCTTTTTTAGGTACAACATTTCCATTAAATCAGAACTAATTATTCAATTTAGTGGAATTATATCCTTTTAGCTCCCCTGGCTACAAAATTGCAATGAAATCCAAACAAATTGTTTGGTTTAGTGGAATTTTACCTTGTCCTTTCCCCTGGCTTTGCTTGTGTCAGGGTTTCAGACACTATTAAGATAAATGCTTAGTTTTCTGGGGAGAAAAAGCACCAGCAATTCTCTCATACATATTTACCAAATCTGAAAAGCCCATATGGTGAAAACCACATGTGAAGCTGTGAAGGTGGGGGAATAGCAGATTTTGTAAAATTCACTGTAGACATGCTGCAGCATTCGAGAGCAGCTCTGTCCCAAACCTTTAGTGAGAGAAGTCACTGAGTAGAGGACACCTTTAGGTGAGACTGAAAGTGGAGGTGGGACAGACCCCTGGGACAGGGCTGGAGGGAAAAATGGCATCTCCCTGTGCTTGCAACCCACTCTCCCTGGCATGCTGAGAAAGAGCAAATTAAACAAGTGTGCTAGAGCCACACTGCTATCTGCTTGCAGAGATTTTGAACATGGACTTTGGTCAGTAAACGTCTATTAAATCATATAAATGAAATAACAGGATTTGCAGAGCTTAACAGTATCAGTATGTGCAGTGTATTTGTTGGAGTAAAGCTTATAGCTGAGTTTTTTTTTACCAAGTACACATCTGGCTTGACTGCTTTATTAATAGGGCATTTAGGTCTATCATTTTAAGGCTGTGCAAAGTAACTGTGAAGTCCAAGATACTGGCCCCAGGCATGGGACAGGCGCTGAGCTGTCTCCTCCCTCACACTGAACACCTGGCCATCCGCCAGACTGGCTTTTGTACAGGATGTGTGGCAATAAAATATATTCTTTATAACCAAATTAATTCATTCTGGCTGTTGTGATGGGCTTTGGTGGGGTGGGAAGGGCTGCATGGCAGGGTGCTCTCCTGCCCCACTCACCATTATTCCCTAGGTCTAGGTTTTTGCAGTGCTCCCGTGTGATATGTCCCTGGGGTGCTCGGGCTGGGAGCTGCTGGCACAGGGGAGCAGTGCAAGTCCCCTCTATTGTAGCTGTGTTTCTCAGCAAGGTGGAGACATCCTGGTTGCTCATCTGTCCCCATTGAGGGGTTCTGAGGTGCCAGAGAACCCCTGGGCACCACACTGGTTCAGACACAGCATCTTTTCTCATGGCTGATCCTGTCCCTCTAACTCCGACCCATCTGGATGTGCACTGCTTGTTGAAAGCAGGGGCTCTGTGCTCCTTGCTGCTTTGGGATAACAGCAATAAAACATGTTGTTGATGAGGCTACGCTCTGGACTGGGCTTTGCAGGAGGCCTGGGAACTGACGCCTGCACACAAAGAGCCAGGAGGAGGGTGCTGTGGAAGGGCTGGAGGCAGCCCTGTGTTTGATGGGGACACACTGCATCTAGTGGCCCTGCTTCTGATGAATTCCTTGTGCTGGTTGTGGTGTCAGGGGATTGTGAAATGGTCATAAAAAATCCCTAGAAATGAGGTCTAGATGAATATATCTGCAACCACAAACAGCTAAGTATGAGAATGTGGCAGGAGTGAGCCAGCATGTGAAATGTGCTTTGGTGTCTCTGTGGCTGTGGAAGAAAACTCCACACAGGAGGGCTTTTTCCCTTTAAATGCGAGGAGGGCATTAGGCTAAAACAGGTTAAAAATATATACCAGTTGTAGTGTTCTAATTTGCCTGAAAATTTACCAAAAAACACAGTCTGGAAGCACACAGGAGCTTGTCCCTTGCTCAGGAGGGCACACGTGAGCATGGGCACAGATGCACAAATGTAAGCCCCCATGTGCCTGTGCCTGCAGACACACAGGTGTTTGCACTCTCCTTCCAGATTTATTGCTGAATGCTGCTTTCCAGGAAGACAAGGTGGCAGGGTTACTCGGAGCCTCTTGAGGCAGGTGTGGTCACAGTGCAGCTACAGTGAGATGGCACCAGGCAAACACCTCCAAGGAGATTCCCTGTGAGAAGTAATGAGCTGCAACCTGCAGCACTCAGTGGGCACCAGAATTCCTTCTTCACAAAGGAGCTGAATCCATGGACCCCAGCTGGGATAAGAGACGTGAAGAAGAAGGTCTAAGGCAGTGCAGCAGTGAAGCAGCAGAAAGGAGCTCATATGTCTGTACCCCTGGGCAGGGCAAACCTGATGCGATGTGCAAAGATAAGGCAGTGCGGATGAAGAATATGCTGGAGTAGTATGTGGGCAAGGGATGTATGAAAACCTGCCTAGACATAGAATCAGTCTGCAGGGAAGGAAACAAAGTTGCAACAATGTCAAGCTGGGAAAAGTTCGGAAAGCTCAGCCACTCAGGAACAGAAAGGCTTCAGTGACAGCAGAGAGTAGCCAGGTGAGTCAGAAAACCGAGTGCAGCCAAGAAAGTCTTGAGCCCAGGCCAGATGATTAGCTCAAGTCATTAGCTGGTGCAGCTAGTGCTCCAGGGCTGTGCCAACAGCGGAGTGCTCTGGGCTGTGATGCCAGGTGGAGCTCCGGCAAGGCTCACCTGGACATAGGCACACCAGCTCCTTCCCTCCATCCCAGGCCCTTGCCCAGCAGCAGGAGTGGGCTGTGCTGCAGCAGCATCGTGGAGGCCAAGGGCTGCTTTTGGGGCTGCACAGCTGTTAGAGGGGCTTTGGATTCCAAGCAAAGCTTCAAGGTGTTTTTTGTTGTTGCCTCCACCAACTCTGCTCTCCTGAGGTCTGCTATGGTCTTGAGAGCAGAGAGAATGCAGGAAAATGGCTGGTGGGCAACAGGAGCTCTCACCTTTCCTGCCCGAAGGTATTTCCCAGGCCTGGCCATCCCTTGGCATTCATGCTGTCCTAGAGGGAAGAGCCCAGACCTTCCTTTCAACCCTTTTGTTGCCTACATGTAACTCCCAAGTGTCCCCCTTCCCCCACCTTCTGTTAGAAGACCCTTGGCTTTGGGGTATCTCATGCTGTTATTCCTCCTTCCAGTTCCCCAGAACCCAAGGTCCCTTAGCTTGTCTCCCATCCTTGTCTCCCCATTGCAGACCTGCTCCTTGGCTGTGAAAATGATCTGCTCTGCTCTGAGGATATCGTGTGTTGTGGCCAATGTGAGCCCTGCTCCAGAGCTGCAACAAACCAAGAATTTCACAGTCTTCCCTGCCCATTATCAAAGAGCCAATAGAGCAGTAAGACAGCCCCCAGGGGTTTGTCCCGTCCCATATTCTTGTAGATCTGTCCAGAGTGCAGCCTCACTGGGCACCTTTCTCTGCCAAGCCATGCAGGGTGTGTCAAGGAGATGGCTGATTGGCAGCTTTTTGTACAGGTCTTTGAGCTCCCCCAGCCATCCCCTCCAAAATCCCTGTAGGGGCTGCAGAGAGGACAGGCAGAATGATGGCGAGGAGTGTCATAGTTTGACACTGTGCAATGCCAACACCCCCATGAAAATGCATCTTCCCCAAATGAGTGCTGTGAGATGCGATCAGGAACAGAGCAGAGCAGGCTCAAGCTTAAAAACAAAGGGGAAAAACTTTATTAACCTACTACTATAATAAAAGACACACACAGAATCCAGAATGAAAACTCTCCAAAACATTCCTTCTCCCCCCACCCAATTTCCACCAAAACACAGTGAAACACCACCCGAGATTCCTGATCAAGTTACCACCCTTCAAATAATCAATATTCAGTCCATCAAGGGAGAGAGGTATCTCTCTTGTACCACAGACCCCCAAGAAACACAATTGCCACTTCTTGTGTTTCCATGTGTTTCCGTGTGACACCCTCCTCTCCATGTCACAGTGCTCTCACCACCGTGCATGGACAAACTGTTCATAGGGCTCCTTTAAGCATGCTTTGCCCAGGACCAAAAGAACAACAGTTCAGCTTCTCATTTTCGGGAAAACGGTCCCCCCATTTTCTCCTCCCGTAGTGCCGAGGGTCTCGAGAACAGAGATCTTCTTTTTCTTGAAGACAGAGGGCATCACCACACCCTCCTCAACTTCCCTCTGTTCACTTCACTCCTGCACTTGCAGTCGCTGAAGCAGGTCACTGCCACTCCTGCACTTTCTTAGCTCAAGTCATTGCATACATCTAAAATGCAGTCTCTGTGTTGCAGGAGGAACTGGTTCAGCCTATGGCTATACAAGAAAAGTCCATCCAAAGCCACTCCATCATCTCCTCCCACCTAGGATTTCTTCTTCTAACATCTCAGATCCAGACTGTCTCTTCTCTTTCAAATCGAGGAGGAGTAGAGATTTGCAAAGCTTTTCTTTCCCCAGGAAAGGGTTAAAAGTCTTGGGCTCCCAGAATGGCTGAAATCTTGACTGCCCAGAACTCCGAACTCCAACTCCCATGACTGGGCACTTCCCCCTGCCCTCCCCCACCCCCGCTTCACTTTCTCATCTGCCGGTTCTGCCGGCAGAGTCTCTGTCTCTCCTTCTCCCTCTGGCGGGGGGAGCAAAGACATCCCAGATTTTCTCCACCCTTCTGTCCGCAGGGGCTGATCTGGTTCCAGTCCCTTCACACCCCGTGCCTATCTCTCCCAGGCTTCATGGCTGTCCCTCCACCGCCAGCCTGGGCTGGGCAGGGGAGGTCTGAGCGCCACACTGACCAGAACCAGGGACAGTTCCCCTGGGAGTTCTCTGCTTTTAACCCACTGCGTTCTCAGAGGCATGTCCATGCCTTTAGTGGTCACTCCAAGTGCCAATATCCAAACCTGACCACTGACTATTTTGACCCCAACTTCCTGAGAAAATTCACTTCCCTGACAGACCATGACAGAAAGTCAGGGCTGGGGACATCTCACCTGGCCGCTGCCATCTCGGTGCTACTTGTAGGAAGCATCTGCCTGGGAAACTGCAACCCAAAGGTGATGCTGAGGGACACGTGTTTTGTGGGGACTCTGGGAGATGATGGTTGCTTGCCTAGGGGTGTACAGCAAGACACAGCTGAAGATGTGTTTGGATCTGCTGCTCATCACTCATGGTGACCTCAACGTCAGTGACAATGAAGCCAGTGAGTATTAGAGAAAGAGCAGGAATTGGAACCTTTTGAGTCCTTCTGGATGAGATCCTCAGGTTCATCTTTGCTACTTCTGGGCAAAACTGTGACTTGCTATTTCCCCCCCTTATCTCCATTTAAACCAGATTGGCTGTATTCACTCAGCTAGAGGAGATCCAAGGGGACCCTGAGCCCCATAGGCTGCTGTGGCCTCAGTCCTTGTGCTTCACCAGGACTGGGAATGTGACGGGATCTGTGTGAGGCTGCCATGAGCTGGGTGTTACAAGAAGAATTGAAGCAGCTGCAATGCTTTCCCAGTATTTCCCAATGAGATGAATGCAGCCAGCCCAGATCCCAGCCCCAGGGACTGGCTGTAGCTGGAATTTGCTGAAATTCCCCCTTTGCCCTTTCCAGCTCTGTAGCTCAGAGGTGGAAGGCAGACCACCACCAGACAGCCTGGGGAGTAGCTGTCCTGGCAGCTCGCGTGGCTGTCAGGTCTCCAGGAAGGCAGCGGCATGGTCAGCACTCCCTGACGAGAGTCCAGGAGTGAAGGTGATACCCAAGTGGTCCGTTTACATTTCGATGGGTTGGATTTTCCACAGGGATCATCAGTCCTTTCTGATTTCCACTTTAGTTAACAACTGCATTATTGAGGTTTCTGCAGGAGCGAGTGCTCATGGATGCTTCATGCTGTATCCTGTGGTGTCCTCGGGGCTGGAGTGCCAGTGCTCCCTAATTGCTCAGGAAGAGGCTTAAATGAGTCAGTGTGGACAATGTTCTTTCCTCATTCCCACCAAATCCCCTGCCTGCTTGTGCCTTTGGGGACTCGGGACCCTGAAGATCCCTGTCTTCCCCATCTGCACCACCTCTTCTGGTCCCTGAGGCTCAGTCCTGCGAGGGGGTGGGTGACCTTCCTGAATGCCACAGGGATGCACTTTAGAGATGACCACACTTTTCTTAGAAATCTTACTGACCCCAGAAAGAGGGGTTGACAGCCACCACATTCCCCTTTCACAATGCAACTGGAAAGCCCCTTTCCTCACTCTGGTGTTCTTCCTGGGGAGCAGAGGCGTGTGAAGCTGCTGTGCTTTGACCCACAAGGCTCCCTGACAGCTGTGATGAGGAAGAACAACCTCCCTTTCCTGTCCATGTTATTGGCAGGGGCTGTGGGCAGCTCAAGAGGTGGGTCCTGCAGCCAGAGGTGGCTAAGAGGTTTGGTCCCAGAGCGATATATCACAACTCAGCATGCTCCTTTTGGTGTAGAGCCAGTTGGGAGCCAGCAGCAGGTGGGAGAACCTTGTGCCAGGGAAGTGGTGGTTGGGGACACCCCTGCTTGTCATGGGATGCAGGACCCAGCAGTGCCTGGAGAGGAGTCCCACAGCACACTCCCAGCACCCCTTTCCAGCCCTTGGTTGTGCTGCAAGACCTATCAAACACACTGAACATGCAAGGAGGTGAGGGTTTGTTGCTGGGCAGCACCCCTAGCACCCCTTGTGAGTGGGTCAAGGTTCTGCTCTTGGGACCCACTCTTTGCAGAGGGCTCCACACTGTCAGACCAACCCCCAGCGAGGAGCTGGCTCTGGGCTGGGAGCAGTTCTGGCCCCCGGCAACCAGAAGCTGTCATCCTCCCTGCTGTGACCTCTCTGTGGCAGTGTCCTGAGGAGATTAAGTAGAGCCAAAGTTGCAGAACCAGCCTACATCCCCAAACCTGCGCTGAGCATGGGGCTGATGACAGACGCTAATCCTGCACTACCTAAACTCGACTCTGCTGGCTTGGGAGTGTCAGCAGGTGCTGACTGAAGTTAAGCTGGCACATGCTGTTTGTGCTACTCCTCCTGCCCACCAGCCCCAGCCTGATTCCTTCTCACAGGGCTGGCTTGTTGGGCACAAGCCACAAGAGCAGTCAGAGGCAATGCTTTCCTGATGGAGGATATCAACACACATATGAGGCTGGTGACAGTGCTGAGATGCAGCACCATGTCTGGTGGCATGACTGGAGTCTCCTCTTTCTTCTTAGCATGGGGTGGGGAAGGGGTAGAGCCTCTCCTGCTGTTGAGAGGAGCAGAGGCACTCACTGAGGTCCCTGGGTCCCAGCTGTGTGCCTTGTGCCTGGGTGGATATTTGTCCACATGTTAGGCGTCTGTACACTTCTGTCCCCTTAGGTGCAAGGACAGTTCGAAGCTGGAGCAAGGGTAAAAGAATAGAGGCATAGAGATTCTGCTGCTCCCATTGCAAAATATTTTCCCTTTTGTCAGTGGGAATTTATCTGGGTGGATCTGATGCCTTTACATTTGTCCTGCCCATGGGCCCCACAGAGAAGACCCTGACTCTGGTATCTCCAACTCCCTACAAGGCAGATGCTGACAGCAGCGAGCCTTCCATCGTTCTTTCCCTGGGCTGCAGAACCCCAGTGCTCTCTGCTTCCCACAAGGGACTGAAGCAGCCTGGTTTAAGGGACATCACTGCAGGTGGCACTGGCGCTGGCATGGTGGTGAGTCACCACACCAAGGAGAAACAAGCCCCGTCCCTGTGCTCCTGTGAAGATTCAAAGTGGGGGTGCTGGTCCTCACTCTCAGCAGTGCCCATGTAGCGGGTGAGCTCCTGGCACCCTGTGCTGTGCACACAGCCTCTGTGGGGGATTTCTGCTCTTCCATGAAGAAAACCTATTTACAGGGAGCTCTGTAGCTGCCTTTGGCCAATAACCCGTTTTCTGGGATACCTGGAAATCAGGTTGTCTATTGGCCTGTGAGATCTTGGCCCTGGAGTGGACTGCTCTGACTGGGCTCTCCTTTGTCTGCCAGCTTCAGATGTGCCCCCATGCAGACACTTGGAAGGGCAGGAGGGGAAAGCCAGGCTTCAGCAACCAGCCAGGGAGACTCTGGGAGGGGAGACAGACATCACCCCAGTACCAACATATACTCCATAAATGGAGTTGAGGCAAGTTCTACCCCCCACAGCATCAGAAGGTTGAGACTACGTGATATTTATTGTGAATATCCCAGTATCCCAGAGATGTCTCAGAGAGAAGAATGGGAAATGTGTGGGTGAGAGTCCCCCAAGTGCTATCCCAGGGTGCTTTCACAAAGTAAAGGGATCCTGGAGCTGCCTGGTCCTGAACAGCAACACCTATGGCCTGAGAGCTGTTAGAGGACAAGAGAGTGCTTGCTATGGGACCACAGAACAGCTGGCTGCAGGGAAACCGCTGCTGGGATATTTGGGAACTGCTCAAAGATTAAAATCCAGCCTGTTGTAATTCTTTTTACAACCTCCCAACCCCCAAAGAAAGTGAAAGCCATGGGCTGGAAGGGTATATAAGCAGTGGGGAGCAGCAGCAGCAGGGCACGGGAAGCTGTGCAGAGCTCACCTCTCCTGCCCGGAGCTCCATTGCCTCCAGACCATCCTCTGCTAGACTTAGCAGCAAAATGCAGCGGGTGCATCTTCTCTGCTTCAGTCTCCTGTTGCCGGGACATATCCTGGATGGTAAGATGGGACCTCTCAGGCTGCCTTTCCTGGGGAAGTGAGAGGATTCTGCTTCTTCTCTCTTTTGCATTTCCAGCAGACTTTTAGAGGGACACATGGCTGCTGCTTCCTCACAGCCCTCCTGTGTCCTTTTCTTGTAACCTGTCCACAGGGACTTTGTCCTGCCCAAAATCCAGACAGGAGTCTGCAGAGCTCTGGGGCAAGGAAGGTGTGTTTGGGAAAGGCCATGGAGTAATCCTGCCTCCCAGTGCCCTAGCCCAGCTTGCACATATTGGGCTGGGATTGTCTTGGTCCCATTCTCCCCAGGACACCACTGAGCTGACGCTCCTGTCACTCTGTGGTGTAGGGCAGCCTGAAGGCCAGTGGCAGGGCTGGGAGCCAGAGGGAAGATGTCTTTTAGGGCAGGGCTGATGTTTAAGGGGCTGTTGGTGTTGGACATGGCATTTGCACAGGTCACAGCTGTTTGGGTGGGTGGCATTAGAGCCTCTACATGTGGTGGGGAGCTGGGGGGTCCAGACGCCTTGTGGCATTGCACCACACCTTGCTGCTGAGGGTACAGACATCTGTGGGTGCTGTCAGCCTTGTCAGGTATTAGCAGTGAATACAGGATTTGCTGGGAGGGTGACTCTGCATCTCCTTCCCTGCAGAGAAGCACAGACAGCTATGTCTTTCAGCTGCCACAGGAATGATCCGTGTGGGGTGGGCTGGTGGTGGGGTGGCTGCCAAACCTGTGATCGCTGCAGTAAATAAAGCTGAAGTCACCCCCAGCCCCTCAGAAAGCCATGTCTGTATTGCAGCACCCTGAAGCGGGGTAAATAAAGACCCCTGAGTCCTGCCTTGCTAGCTGGGGTGCGGGAGGGTTCCCTTCTGCCTGTTTACTCTTCCCATCTCTTTTGCTTTCTGTTGGAAGGAGGCAAAGGGCTCTCAGCACTGGGGTGTGAGTGCAATAAAGCTGGTGCCTGTGTGCCCAGCCAGGGCAGTGTGTGACACCATTCCTGCAGGCACCATCCTGCCGCAGCCCTGTCACCCTCCAGGGAAGCTGGGAGAGGTGCAGCTGGCCTCCTCTAGTGTTCCTCCTCCAGTGCACAGCAGGAGCAACGTCCTTGACTGCTGCCTGCGGACAAGTGAGGTGCCCATCCCATGGTGGATCGTGCAGGATTACTGGCTCCAGCTGGTGCAGGATGGCTGTGACATCGATGCTGCCGTGTAAGAGCCCATGTGCTGATGGCTGAGGGACAAGGCCTCGTGATGGCCAAGGGATGGACCTTGCACAGAGGCAGGGTGGAAGGCAGAGCAGGATGGTGGAGGGATGTTAAGCTGGATTTGAGGGTGGAGGAATAGGGAGAGCTGCAGAAGAGATCGTGGAGATCCAAAGGCTCGGTGAGAGGGGGAGCAGCGGAGAGGGGAGAGCATGGACAAAAGCCAGGGAAGAAAGTCATCTACAGGGAGAGATGGGGGAGGGCAGTGAGGTAGGGAGTGGGTGAGAGTTTGAGCTGTTCTTGAGCATCCATGGAGTGCCTGTCACTACATCTTGGTTTTTTCCCTCATGGGCCTGGCAGATTCATCACCACAAAGGGCAAGTGCCTCTGTGCACCCCTCCATTCCCCGTGGGTGATTCGACTCCAAAAGAGGCTGGATGCCACCTTTGCCAAGAGGGTAAGAACCATCCCTGTTCTCAGCCAGGCATGAGATCAGCCCAGGGGGTGGGTTTATCCGCTGCTGGACAGGCTTTTCCCATTGTGACGGCTGCTGGGAAGAGCAGGGACCATGCTCTGCTGAGACATGGATAATTTGTTTTGGTCTCCATCCCTCCTGCCTCCAGCTGGGACTAGTCTGCCTCCTCAGTAGTCCTTCTTCCACCCCAAATGAATGCATTCCTGGGATTTTTGTCTACCCAATATCACTCTTGTCTGAGCCTGGTTTGTGTGCCATGGCAAATGGCACCAAGAGAAAAATCTCTTCTTACTTCTGCCCTTCATGTTTGGAGTCTGCTTCTTGTGCATCTTCATGGAGAGGGCTTATGATGAGCTTGGTGGGTGCTTCACAAACCTGACAGGTCCATCACTACCATGGCTTGTCCAGCAGAGGAAGGAATCCTGGGGAAGCTCATACCCCCAAGGAAGTACACTAGTATCAGTTGGGTTTTTAATTTCCACAGGGCAAGTAGGTCCTCAAGAAGCAATTGCTGGTCCCAACAGCTGGAGGAGACCATCTCCCAGCTGTGAATCTGATGCTAACAGAGCCAACCTGCTTCCACCTCCAGCCTCAGGGCTGACCCTCCTTGAGAATCATGCCGGTGTATGGGACTCGGCAGAACCCTGTCTGCTCTGTCTTTGACAATGTGACCCAGAACCTGCATCAGACTGAGCCAGAGGCTGCTGGACTCCATCATCTTTGCAGCCTAGAAGTTGTTTGATGGAGTGATCTGTGAGGTGAGCTGGGGACTCTCAGACTTCCCATCAACACAGCAGTTGTGACCTCCAGCTATAGTCTGATCCCTTTGGTTTCTATTGTGTACCCCAGCCTAGAATCCTTCTGCATCCCTGGGCAGGGCTGCCAGCATAGAACAGTGTGGGGCTGGAGGGGAGTGATGAAGATGTTCCACAATGGCCATACATTGTACTGATTCTTGCCAAGCACAACCCAGATGCCCCAGAAAATGTGTAACTGATGTGGTTCTCTCACTCCTGAATTCCCTGCACTGTTTCCCTTCTGCCCTTCCTTGCAAGGGTAGAAATATAGCCACTAATGCAGAGCAGGCAGAGATGTGGCCCTTAGCCCCTGCTCTCCTCCAGGACATTGCACCCTTTCTCAGTCCCTCAGCCTGACACCACTGTCCCAGCCTGCCCCATGCCCATGCCTGGAGATTGTGCTGCTCTCGTTATTTACTGCTAGATCTGTTCATTGCAACAATTCCATGTGTATGCCTCTTCTTTACTCTCTCTTTTTTATTGTGCTGTGATTTTGATAAATAAAAAGAGAAGCCAGCAGGTAGTTGTTGTGCCTCATGTTTGAGCTTGAAAAGTCAGCATGGAGTGTGTGGGTGAGCAGACAGCACTGCCTACTGTGCTGCAGTGGCAAGAGGGCTGTGCTGGGGTGTGGGAGAAGGAAGGATGGTTCTTGGGGACAAGGGACACAACAGCTGGGCTGCAGGTCTCTCCTGGGAGTCCCTCAGCACTGTGGCAAACAGGTGCCCTGCTCTGTACTGCTCAGCCAGGCTACAGGTGGGCAGGATGGGGTAGGAGGAAGCGTGACAGTATTGCACCATCCAGCCCCAAATGCTTCAGTCCTGCCAGTGCAGATGCTGGGCTGGAGCTCCCCAAGTCTCAGCTCCACAGAAGCAGAGGACATGGAAGAAGTGCTGCAGGAACGGGAGGTTTGTCCTTGCAGTAAAGGGAAACTGAGGCACAGTGTGGTTGATTACTCTTGCAGGTCAGTACTTGCTGGTGGCTGGGGTGCAGGTGAGTGGAAGGATGAGCTTTTGGGGCAATGGAGGCTGCTGAAGACTCTTGGGCACATCCATGGATAAGGCACATATGGCAGCCCCCCAGCTCCTGGCACTCATCAACAGTAAGCTGAGAGTCTGTGGCCATTTTCCTCCTGAGCCTCAGGTCTCCTGCGCACTCTGAATAAGGTCTTGCTGTCTCAAAGCGTCCTTTTGTCCCCTGTTGTCCAGGCCATGTGATGTCTGAATAAAGCTGTTCTGTCCAGCTGAAGCATTTGTGTGTCCAAACAGGCAGGCACATCCTCTCCTCCCAGGCACTGCTGTGTGATTGTCTGCATCATTCAGCTACTCGGGTTTGGCGCTAGTCAGCATGCTGGGCACAGGTTGGGAGTGAAATGGTTCAGAACTATTCCTGAAGGCAAAGGTACATCCTTTGGGGATGGCATCCACAGTGGTGCAGTGGCTGGGCTGTCCAAGCCAGGGAGTGCCCAGGTACCTGATGGCTTTGTGCTGACACCTCTGAATTCAAGCTTAATCCTGTCCCTTCTTCTCCCCTGGTCACCTGTCTCACTCAGCCAGTGGCTCATTTCTCTTTCAGTTGTTCTCCCCTCTGGGGTCCTCCTCCCTGGTATGTGCACAGACAATGCCTCGGGCTCAGATGTCTCTGAGTGTGACTTTCACTGAGCACCAGCTTTGTCCCAGACCATTAACTATAGTGACAGCCCCAGCAATTCAATCCTGAGCAGAAAAGGAAGAGAAGGAAGGCTGGTATGGGAAGAGGGGCCAAGATAAACAGTATGAGTGGGAAATGAGGATAACTGGCGCTGCCTTGGACAGAAGCCTTCCTGCTGCTCGCTCAGTGACCTGTGAGGGGGCCGTGGCTGGGGAGGGGGAGGAATGCTTGGCATGGATCTGCTCTGAGGCTTGAGCTGCTGCAGCTGGAGCAGGTCCCCTGTGGAAGTGCAGGGACTGCCACAGGGGCTTGGCCCTGGGGTGCATTAGATTCATGCTTGGCTGCAGGCTACCAGGACAAGGAGAATAGTGTCCTGGACCAGGAAAAATGAGGGAGAAGGGTTTACACTGATCTCTTGGATGTTGGAAGCAGGTTAATCCATTTCTATGAGAATTCCAGGGAAATCTTTGCCAACCAGCCCTTAAGAGCATGGTTGCAACACCCAGGGTTCTCATCTCTGCTGGGAGCACTAAAATGTGGTCTCCTCAGAGCAATGCAGCCTGCACACCCACAGATCCCTGCTAAGGTCCTTGCATGCCGTGGTTCTCAAGTGCATGGTGATCCACATCCCAGCTCTGGCAGCAGGCTGCTCTTATGCCCCCAGGGGAGGACAAGAAGAGATATTGTCCTGGACCAGGTACATGGTCCTGGCTCCTGTCCCTCCTCCAGCCCTGCAGCAGCCTCTCCTCCATGCCAGAGCTCAACTTCTCTTGTAAATCTGTCAAAAACCAGACTGGTTCAGTGCTTAGTAAACTAGGGAGTGAGTTTCTCTGATTCAAAATGTCAATGATCTCTTTAAAAGGAAGCAGCCACTTTCCTTAGGAAAAGTAGCTAGTCACTGCTGTGTCAAAAACCTCGGTTCCCAGCCCAAAGCTAGTCTCAGTAAAAAAAGTCCTGCTTTTCTCTCCCCAGACATGTTTTTCCTTGCTCTTTTCCTATCCTCACTGCATCCTCAGGGGTGGGTGGTGCAGGACCAGAATCCATTGCAGTTCAATGCAGACATTCCCTCAGTAGCTCAGGAGTTACGCGCAGGGATCTCTTTGGCTCTAGAGCATTGGTCAAATCCCCTGTAGCCTTTTATTCAAACCTGGGGACCTGTATTTCGCATGTTGTGGAGCAACAAGGTGCTATAACTGTAGCTTTCACAAGGAGCTGACAAAACAGCCACTCTCTTGGTGACTGTGAGCAAGGCAGGAGAGAAAGGACAGAGCTGCATCTATGCAGGCAAACTGGGCAGGCATCAGGTTGCTCCCTGGCTGCCAGTACTCACAGCTGGGATCATGAGAGCACTCATGTGTCTGCCTGGCATGGTGAAAGCAGTCTTGGATGCTACTCAGGCTGAGTTCAAGGGGCACAAGACACATCAGGCACAATCTGCTGCAGTCTCAGGGTCTGACTTGGCACAGACATACCCAGCTGGGAGGTAGGATTGAAGGTTCCATGGCAGAGAACACCAATTTGCTTCTCTGCAAGCAGGACACCAACAGAAATACTATGTTTGTCTCCCTTGGTGCCATTAATACCCTTTACAGGAAGGGTATTTTGATGGAACTGGTTTTGTCCCTTGCCTCCAAAGAGATGGTGTACAGGGGCTTTTCCTGTCACCAGCATCCCCCATGTGCTGCACATGCTGGTCCTGGAGTGACTGGGGAGGAACCAGCTGCATCCTCCCCTCATGGTCCTTCAGGTAAGGGAGCTGCACCATGGGGGCTAAGAGCTGTTTCCCCCTCTCACAACCCTCACACAGCTTCTTCACATGACTCCCTGGTGCACAGAGTCAGCAGGAGGTGTGGATATGCCCTGGGCACATTTGCCAGAGCAGGGGCCAGTTGTTCCCCATTATGGTGGTTTCCACCTTGTGGTGCCAAGACAAGGGGCTGCTTTTCCTTGGCACAAGTGCCAGATTAGCTGGCAGGGTCTCAGGGACCTGTCTAGGTTTATATGAGGAGATGGCACATGTGGATGGTTGGGAAGGATGAGAAGCCAGGTGAGGAAAAGCCCCTTTTGTCTTGTTCCATTGTACTGTTTGCTCTTGCCTAAACAACATGTGTGGATGATGGAGAGAATTCAGAACTGGCATCTCTTATCTTCAGCCCATGCTTGCTCCCCCTCATTTCCAGCATGTCATCACCACTGCTGTTTGTCTGGACAGTTTTATGCTAAGATTTTGTCCTGTGGGCAGATACCGGCACTCTTAGCCAGGCTGTGTGGTTCCAAAAAGGAGCGGTGCCATTCCTGCCATGTTCCTCTTGCAGCTGAACTCTGCCTGGTGGCATTGCCCAGCCTGCACCTCCATGATCTGATTCCCAGGACTGGAGCATGAGACCAGGGGTTTTCTCCTGCCCTGAGCTCCTGGAATCAAATTGAGTCCAGAAGCTGTCTTATATGGAGACCCTTGTGCCTAGACAGGACTTGACTCAACTTTCTAGAAGTAGTAGGAACTGGCATCTCATTGTAGTGGAGGCTGAGCCACAAGACAGGCACAGTTCTGACCAGGTCCCAGGGCTCCCTTTGGAAAGGGATGAGGGACCCATCCTCTCTGCCCTCAGATGCACCCATCTTCACTCTATGCACAGAAGCACTAAAACTGGAGATAAAGACAAAACCAGGAGGGCAAGCAAAGAGAAGACTTTACCTGCTGAGAGAAACACTCTGGAAAGTACCCATTACCCATCCCTCCTGAACAGGCAGCAGGCAGTGACAGAGGCTTAGTGCCATTTCTGTGGCACTCCCCACTTCTCCCTCCTGTTTTCCTGCTAGCCGTGCCTCTAGGTAAAGCTTTTTTCTGCTCTCCACATTGTGGTGCCCAGCCACAGAAAGGCTGAGGGAAATCTATCCTTCCTTCTTTCCTCAATTGCCTCTGCCAACCACGGCAGAATGGCCTGGATACATTGGCAAAAAAGAACTATTTATGTCAGAGACTGAGGGAAGGGGTCACCTCCATCTCAGATTTGAAGGGATGGGGCTTGGAGGGGGCTAGCAAGGATCTGATAGCTCTGCTCGGGAATGAGAGGGACAGCCATGGGCAAGCAAAGATGAGAAGATTCTGGTCATTCTCATGGGTTTTGTGAAATTGGTGTGCAGCCCCAAGGCTGGCTGGTACATAATACCCGTAAGCATGAGAAATCTTTCCTTGTCCATGGTGAAAAGGGAAAGCCAGAAGATTGCTAATAGTAAAGGCAGACCCAGGGGCTCTTCCCACAATCTTTCTTTAGATCTGACAAGGACAAACTTCTAATCCTGGTGTCTCACTCTGTCTGCTTGGCCCCATGTTTGCCCAATGTGTGCCCAATTTCCTTGAATCCTTCTGCCCTAGGTGTATTTTACTGGCATTGTGACTATTCTGTGCCTGTCCAGCTGTGGCCAATGCAGATTTGTAAGGTGTGGAGTTTCACAAGCTTCCTGGCTTGGGAGGTTCACGTGTTGCAGCATTTAGTTGTTTCTTGCTCCAAACATATCTAATTCTTCCCTACTTTCCCACAGATGTTATGGCTAGGAAAGCCCCTTCTCTGTTGAGATGTGCACTACAAGCCCACAACTCTGTTTACATGGATACTCCTTAATCCTGTTTAAATTTTCAAGCTGTGACTTTCTGCTCTCTGTGGGAGGGACAATTCTACAGCAATGTGAGCTGCTGAGGTGGTCTTTGATAAGTAAATAAAGTGCTTTCCTTGAAAGTACCGGCAATTATATAGTTTCCCACCTTTTATTTAGCTGACACAGCTTTTGGAAAGGCACCAGTGTGTTTGTGGTGATGGATGACAGTCACTGTTCTGCAAAGAACAAAAGCAGAAGTGTCCCAGATACGCCAG